TATATATATATATATATATATATATATATATATTTATATATATATATATATATATTTATATATATATATATATATGTATATATATATATATATATATATATATATATATATATATATATATATATATACATATATACATATACATATACTTATACATATACATATACACACACATACACACATATATAGAGAGACACTGAGTAGAATAATTAATAAAACATATTTAAATGAGACAAACTAACCTTGTGAGATGTCTTCTGTATCTCTCAGGATATCACTACCATCGGTACTTGCTGTTAGAAGAAGTACATAGAAATGAAGATTACAAAGCAGTTTTTAGATATCGCTTTATCTTGAGATTAACGTTTGTTGGAAATGGATAAAATAAATGCAGTGTGCTTGTGCTTAATAAGGGGATAAGTGTGTTTACTTTTACAAAGATTTTTATTATTTTCATATGATTAATTTTTATTTGCACAGTTGAATTATATTTCCTAATCCAACACTGTGTGAAATATACCTGGAAAAATATGCGCATATTTTGGCATTTGCCCAAAAAGAGGGTGAAAATAGGAGTTTATATGTTTATATGTACTTATTTCAATATCAATATTACAAAACAAGAGTACATATATCACATACTTGTAGTCACGGGGCTGATCAGCTGGCCACCAGACAGGTACGTCTCAGCTAAAAAACAGAGAGAGAGAGAGAAAAATCACCATTGAATAAATAGCCAAACACGAGCGCGAAATTTTAAAAAATCAACATCGTCACTTCAAAACACAACGACCACTCACACGTAACTTCCTTAGTGGCGTCAAGTGTCAAACTGCCCAAGGTATTGACCGACGTGAGGGCAGTGGAAATGTCGGTCTTCGTGCTCGCCGTGGATGTGCTGTCCGACTCCACACTGGCACGGACGATCACGCTCCCGGAGAGGAGTTCCATCACGACCACGCTCCGGACGGCTTTCACTTTCTCCTGAAGCGCTGTGAGAAGCTGGTGGGAGAAAGAGATTGAGTTTTTAAACTTTTGGATAATTATATGAGTGTTCGGGTCGTTGGTTGTTGTAGGGGAGGTCACCTTTTTTGTTATATATATATATATATATATATATATATATATATATATATATATATATATATATATATATATATATATATATATATATTTTTTTTTTTTGAAAAGAGATTTTAATTGCTATAAATGCCTTAATGAATCTGGTCTGATAATATCGTATGAGATGTTACGATTGTAGGTGATTGTGCTAATAATATACCGACAGTTTATAGGTCTTTGGACTTTTAAGATGGTTATAAAATGTATCTATTTTAGAAAGTGTATATGAGAGTAAGATAATTCAACATGATATGGAAATATGATGTTTACCATGATGCAACAATAACAACAATACATTGCGTCTGAATTCTGATTATGCTGTGAGAATATACTATGGTAAGATATTGTTCTTAAAAATGATATGATTAAATTCAAAGAAAATAAAGAAATCCAAGAAAATACGGTAAAAATAGAATAAAATAAACATTACCAATGGCTGGAAGGTATTCTTGAAGTTCTTGAATGCGGAAGAGGTTGGGTCAGACATCGCCGTTTCGAACTGTCGGTTTGTGACCTTTAACTTGACATTGCACCAGCGATGAGCCACGGCCAGGGCCACGATTTTCACTGTTGAGGGAAAAGGGGAAAAGTAAAAAGTTTGAGAGGACGTGATTTAATGGATACAGTAATCATGAAAATAATTATGATAGTTCATTGGTTGTCAGTCTATATATCTTTTGACCTGATTCAGTATATATATATTTTTTTAAGTATACATTTAAAAATAAAAAGATATTAAAATATAATAGTTCATACGATTCTTAATCATAGAAAACCTCTAGGCTTCGATTTCGACAGAAAACGTGCAAACTAGGTATATTTTAAGGCTAACTAAACAAATTTTCCTGATTTCATTTTCATATAACTTACTTTTCAGCGGAGCGGGAAAAACAATTTGATAATTACACAGAAATTCGAAACGGTATTTTGTTCATACAAACCAAGAGGATAAAACAACCAAGCAATAAATCAATAACAAGTCCCGGAAAGATGTCAGGCCACAGCCTTTGACAGTCACTCTAAACTTTTAACTTACACTTGAAATCCAGATTCTGCATGTCCTGATTCTGCAACATGGAGTTCCTGAGGGCAGCCAGGTCGACGTTGGAATTAGCGTTGGCGAGGTATTCTACCCTGACTGTGGTGGCATCTATCTTTATCACTCGCTTTAACTTCAAGTCTGAGGTGACTTTCGTGGTCTGGGAGGATGCCTTTACCAAGTTCGTGTACTGTGGAGAATTTTCGATTTAAGTTACAAAGATTTAGGGTATTAGCGCACTAGGTGGTATATGTTATGTTATATGACATGTTCTTTTCTACTGTTTATCTTGTACACTATCATCTCAGAGGGATCCTTACAATACGATATCTTTCAGACGATATCTAACGTGTTAACCTCCGTGCCACAATATATCTCCCTAAAGAATAACGCCATAACAAAACACTATGCCAACTATGCATCGTGACTACTACATCTTGGTTATAGCTCCGATCCGCTACTTAGTAATAACGCTAACGTCCAGATAGTGAGGCTGACAAATAAAGGAAACCCAAAGAACTAAACGACAGTAACGTTACGACTGTACGACAATTATAATTTGTGTGGAAAAAAAAACTGTTATAATAAATTAAAAAAAGTAAGTGGTGATGAAAATACGAAGCAACATGCTCTATGATAGAGCTACTCAAGGAGGAGAAAAGTATAATGAAATAAAATGAAGGCTCTGGCGATGGATTCTTGAAAGTGTATTTCCTCGACTGACTGTAGGGTAAATTAGGTGACATATGGGAATACTATGGAGTACTCACTTTGGTGGTTTTGTTTTCATGATTGCATGAAAGATATTTATCCTGACCTTTGTATTTATTGGAACTTGCCTAACTAGACCTTTGCTCATAACAGTTGAGTAGCCCAGCTCTATGCAATAAAATGCATGTGAACTTCATTTAACATTTTTTATCCTGACTCTAACGAATAACATAGACCAGTAATCCTCCCCCTCCCCGAAAAAATAGACATATAGCGAAATTTATTAAGTTATAGGGACACCCAAATACAAAGCAGATTTGTTGTTGATAAGAAACTCGTATGACTGCGCCTTACAACTAACGAATTCATTACAAATAGCTTTACCGTGGTCGCTGCATCTTGAAGGCCGGCATAACTACTGGAGGTCTTGGTCAGATAGTCGGTGACCTGAGTTGATGTTAGACCTGTTAGCCTCACAGACATGAACAGTCCAGATCCTGGAAGAAGTAGAAAATAAATTATATTGTGTGTAGGAGGCAATATACATGTGCATGTGTGAGAGTAGATATGCATACTTACATACGCACACACACATATATATATATATATTTATTCATTAATTTATATATATATATATATATATATATATATATATATATATATATATATATATATATATACATACACACACACACATATATATGCAGCAGATGGAAAAAGTCTATATGTGCAACCCTTGCTCACTGGAAGCAAAATGGTCACGTTGTATTAAAAATAGAAATTCTACAGTGAAGGTATTCAAATAACTAACTTTGGGTTATTTTCATAACAAGCTCTTCGGTTTATATTATATCCTACATAAAATTGTCTGAATCATTATGTGTGCATTTCGTTCTCTGACTACTGAAACACAACTGCGGAAGTACACAAGCTGTATGTTTCACTCAGTGGAAAGTTTCATGGAGGACTACCAACTCACCACTGACACTCGTTTTGTCCACATCGGTGGTATCTGGAAACAAAGAGGAAACCATTACCTACGTACAACCTTGCCTTCTCTTTAGTAACATCCACCGAATCATTAAGATATAAATCTAACAAGGTATTTGTCTCTGAAACTTCTAGCTAAAAAAAAATAATCTGAGTTTCGAGGACCTGGATATTCTTGCTCTTCGTGTCAAGCACTGTTATCCTTTCAGTATTTATGTAATTTTTCACTTGTAAACTTTATTACACTGATGAACACAGAAATTCTATTCGTGGCCGTAATAAGAAATTCGAATTCAACAGTCTAAAATTGTTATAGCAACTAGCAATAGGATATATATATGAATTTATTTCACAATTATAGTTTTATTTAGTTCAGTAATAATTAATAACCGTCGATTTGACTGTCTCATTGATGAAGTATAAGACTTGACAATAGTATATTGCTCCGCTTTATTATAATAAGACTAATATAAAACCAGATAACTGGCACTCACCCAGAGTAGAAGTGGTGGTTCCGGTTGAGCCTGTGTTTGTGTTTGTATCCGTGTTTGTGTTTGTGTTTGTGTCTGTATTTGTAGTTGTATCACTTGATGATCCCGATCCACCTGTAAATAAACGGGAAAGTTAAAGTGGCAAGCAGACCTAGCGAAATGTCCAGATAACTGTTTGACCGTTGTTAGTCCCAAGGGGTTCCTGGCCGGATCCGAGCTCTGTGCTAAAACTAATGGTGGAATTCCATTGCGCGCGCTTACCTGTGAAGAACGAAATGCGAATATAGAATTCTTAATATTTAAAGACACGAAGGCGTAAATAAAGTAAAAAAAAAGTGACAGGACGCGGAAGATTTACGGGTATGTCGGATTATGATAATTTTCATGGATTTCAAATAGCCAAGTATAAATTATTTAAAAGACTGAAAAGAAAGCTAAAATTACGGCTAGTTTACATTTCTTCATGGCCACAGAGCGATGAATTCTTGGAACGGTGAAATAAAAACACCGATTTATATGTCATGTTTTCTGAAACACCTCATGCTTACCGTTCGCAATTGGACCTGGAGATAAATATGGTTATGTAACCAATGCTGCACTGACACACCTTTTGTGTATTGAACTATTACACAGAAAGGATCCGGCATGTTCTCTAAAAATGATATCACCCTGAAAAAGTGTCACACTATGTACTGTCAACAGGTACTGTAAGTGTGCGCACATACAGTGTGCCTGTTGTGTATTGTGATGGAATAGATGTCAATGGAAGCGGTGCTTGTATTGCTGGGTATTGGTACTGAGTGATGCTAGTATACAATTTGTCCTGGTATCACAGCACGCAAACGTAAGGCCTGTTGTATGAGGATTATATTGCGGGTACTGTAAAAAAAAAAAAATAAATAAAAATAAGAAATAAAAAATAAAAAGTGTAGATGTTACATTTAGTGTCATGATAAATTGTGGCCTGTTGTATGAGGATTATATTGCAGGTACCGTAAAAAAATAAAAATAAAAATAAAAAATAAAAAATAAAATGTGTAGATGTTACATTTAGTGTCGTGATAAATTGTGGATATTTTCAAATGTTTTAGATGTAGCAAAATATGCGCGTTCATATTCAGAGACACGTGTGACGGAGAGCCGGACCGACAACTCGAGGTTATTGGCTGAAGGGCGCGAGAGACCGGTCTGGCTCTCCATCTGAGGTGTCCCAAGTGTCTTTGAATATCGCTCATATTCAGAGATACTTGGGACACTTTGACGGAGAATCGGGCCACCGATGTTTCAACCAATCACCTCAAGTTGTCTTGTGCCGCAGCCAATGGTGATTGGCTGACCCGTCTGGCTCTTCGTCTAAGTTGCCCTAAGTGTCTCACTAAGTGTCGCTCACGTTTAAAGACACGTTTTGGTCAAAGTGGAGTTGTCTCAACGGTGATTGGACGGCGGGCGCGAAATGCTAGTCTCTGAATATGAACAATGGTTCGGTTTGGTGGCTGTGCAGGTGTTGTCATGGACTGGAAATGACATATAGTCCAGTTATTATAGTGTTAATTTTGTAAAAATACAGATGTTATTGTGAAAGACTGTGCAGTTGGTTTTGATTCCCAGTTACTGTCATGCGGTAACACGTTGGTTTTACCGGAACTAGAAGTGCCAGAAGATGTAGTATCGGCTGTATTTGAACCTGTGGCGGGTAAGATGTGAATTAGTGTTGGTTTGTGGGTGATGAAACTTCTCGGAAAAATAGACTAACAAAAATATAACGTCGCAGCTATATACTTTTAAAGATATTAGTTATTTCCTAATAAGGTATGGTAGATGTTAAGGGCGAGAATAAATCATGATAAAAAAAACGTTCATATATGTAACTGAAATATAATACGAGTTATCCTAAACACACAACCAAACATTTATTCTGACACACATTTTTCCTGGTGACCGCTGCCACCCCCACGAAATTCTTGGCCCGATGTGCGTTCTTCTAATTAAAAAAAGAAAAAAAATCAAACCGAAAGTTAAAAAGAAAAGAAAAGAAACAGGTGAATCTAAATAGCTTAATAGAAAAGTATACTTGGAGGACTTGGAGGCTGCGAAAAAAAAGTTACATAACAATATATTCAACGGTGAAAGGCTGGCATTGCTCTTATGACAAAAAGGCCAAAATCTACCAGACCTTTCGGATGATTATGAATTAACAAAACCATGTCACAAGTTTCCAAGACCCATTCGTAAATCTCCTGCACTATAATATACTGTACTTTGCCTTTATCGTGTTCCTGCAGTTAAACTATGCAACCACTGCTACAGTGATGCACCTTTTATATGCTGATTTATGGATATGATGTGTTTTCATTATACAGCTTGGCTCTTAGATTGATCTTAACCTGAAAATATTAGCCAAAGAGAGGTAAACTATATAATTATATGGTAATAATGATAATGCTTAGAATACTGAGTTGAGTTCATGCCACCTTAACATGTGTTGATGGCAGGTAACTGGTATAGCAGGATATGCACTTGAAATGAATCTTACACATGCTGTTTTGTCATGGACTGAGACCCGTTGATCTAAATGACCTGGCAATCGCTGTTTCACTGATACACCTATATGCATAATATCACACACTAGGAATGCATCTAGTTTCTTAACTTTTAGCCTGCTCCTAGATGGCAACTGACTTAGGACACAATTGGATCAGGAGATAAAAATGGTTATGTAACCAATTCAACACTGATACACCTTTTGTGTATTGAACTATCACTGTCAGGATCCGTCATGTTCTCTAAAAATGGTATCACCTTTAAAAAAAAATGTCATAGTATGTACTGTCAGCAGATACTGCAGTGTGTGCAAATAATATATCATTCCTGTTGTGTATTGTGATGAAATATGTGGCAATGGAAGCGGTGTTTGTATGGTTTAGCATTGGTATTAAATTAAGTTAATACCACAGTTTGTCCACAGCATGAAAATGTAAAGCCTATTGTATTGCAGGTAGTGTTAAAATTTGCTAGGTGTTGTAAATATTAGATTTGGTGTCGTGAGAATTGGTAATGGGGCAGAATCTCTAGTGTTTTAGATGTAGGGAAATATGCGTGCTTATGACAGAGAGCCGGACCGACAGCTCGAGGTAATTGGCTGAATGTCGCGAGAGGCCTAAGGTGTCCCAACTATCTCTGAATATCGCTCATATTCAGAGATACTTGGGACACCTTAGACGGAGATCCGGACTGGCGTCTCAACCAATCACCTCAAATTGGCTTGCATCGCAGCCAACGGTGATTGGCTGATGGTCGCGAGATGCTGATCTGGCTCTCCGTCTAAGGTGTTCAAAGTCTTCTCGACGGTGATTGGTTGGCGGGCGCGAAATACTAGTCTCTGAATATGAGTGATGGTTCGGTCAGAACCTGTGCAGGTGTTGTGATGGACTGGAAAGGACAAGTAGTCCAGTTAATATAGTGTTGATTTTGTAAAAATACAGATGTTATTGTGAAAGACTGTGCAGTTTGTTTTGATTCCCAGTTACTATCATGCGGTACCACAATGGTTTTACCGGAACTGGAAGTGTCAGATGTAGTATCGGCTGTATTTGAACCTGTGGTGGGTAAGATATGAATTATGTAGACATAAAAGCATATTCGAGGGTGAAAAGCTGGCATAGCTCCTAAGACAAAAAGGCCAAAACCTGCAAAACCTTTCGGATAATCATGAATTAACAAAGCTATGTCACAAGGAGTTTCCAAGACCCATTCATATCCAATGCTACAGATGTAATCATAAAGTAATGGCAGTGATTAGAATGCCGTTTGTGAAAGTCCAGTTCATGGTAACATAACATATGTTGAAAGCAGGTAATTAGTATAGCATGATGTGCACTTGAAGTAAATCTTACACATGCTGCTGATGTCTGGCAATCAGTGTTTCAATGATACACATTATAAGGATATCACACTTTAAAAATGCATCATGTTCTTAACTTTCAGCTTTGCTCCTAGATAGCTATTGACTTAGGATACAATTGAACCTACTGATAAGAATGGTTATGTAACCAATGATACACTGATACATCTTTTGTGTACTGAACTATCACTATGTAAGGATCCGGCATGTTATTTAAAAATAGTATCACCCTGAAAAAATGTCGTACTGTCAGCAGGTAGTGTAGTGTGTGCAAATATATTGTGGCTGTTGTGTATTGTGATGGAGTAGGTAGCAATGAAAGCGGTGCTTGTATTGCTGGTTATTGGTACTGGGTGATGCTAATAACCAATTTGTCCTGGTATCACAGCATAAAAACGTAAAACCTATTGTATGAGGATTATATTGCAGGTATTGTTATAAAACTGCTAGGTGTTATAGATGTTACATTTGGTGTCGTGATAAATTGTGGATAATTGGTAATGGGACAGAATTTCAAGTGTTTTAGTTGTAGGGAGATATGTGCCGACAACTTGAGGGGCGCTAGTTGCCTGTCTTGCTCTCAATCTAAGGTGTCCTAAGTGTGGATATCACTCATATTCAAAGATACTTGGGACACCTTAGATGAGATGCTACCCCACGAAATTCTTGGCCTGATTTGCTTTCTTCTAATAAATACAAAAGTGGAATTTTCTTAAGCCCAAATAAAGCAACGAATGAATACAAATTGTACAATTACGATTTTATCAGGTTTTCCTTATAAACAGAAAAAAAAAGATTGCTACATGTACTCTTTTCAGAACGATAGAGAAAAATGCAATAGCAAGACAAGCGTTAGTTTGATATACAACATAATGATGATTATGAAAATATAAAAACAAAAGGAAACAGACAAATCTATATTTATGCAGCCTTAGAGGCTGCGAAAAAGTTATATAAAAGTATATATAAGGGCGAAAGGCTGGAATTGCTACTATGACAGAAAGATAGAACTAAGAAACCCTGCATTTTCTCATGATCATAGAGTATTCACAAAGAGTTTCCAAGACCCATTAGTAAATCTGCACTTTAATATACTGTACTTTGCTTTTATCATGTGCACTCGTTCCTTCAGTTAAACTGACTATGTAGGACTGGCATCTCAACTAATCACCTCAAGCTGTCTTGCGCTACAGCCAACGATGATTGGCTGACGGGCGAGATGCCGTTCTAGTTCTCCGTCTAAGGTATCCAAACTGTCTCTGGACACTTGGGACACCTTAAACAGAGACATCTCGAGGGTGATTGGTTGGCGGGCGCATAATACTATGCCTCTGAATATGAGTGACGGTTCGGTTGGTGGCTGTGCAGGTGTTGTCATGGACTGGAAAGAACAAGTAGTCCAGTTATTATAGTGTTAGTTTTGTAAATATACAGATGTTATTGTGAAAAACTGTGCAGCTTGTTTTGATTTTTTTGATTCCCAGTTACTGCCATGCGGTATCACGTTGGTTTTACCGGAACTGGAAGTGTCAGAAGATGTAGTATCGGCTGTATTTGAACCTGTGGCGGGTAAGATGTGAATTAGTGTTGGTTTGTGGATGAAACTCTGATTTTTCATTTTTCCTGTTGACCCTTGCTACCCCAATTCTTGGCCTGATTTGCTTTCTTCTAATAAATACGAAAGTGGAATTTTCTTAAGCCCAAATGAAGCAACGAATGAATACAAATTGTACATTTACGATTTGT